AGTAGATATTTCAGCTAGAATAGTATTTATATCAGCTATATTATTAGATACATCAGCTATATTAGTAGATATATCAGCTATATTAGTAGATACATCAGCTATATTAGTAGATATATCAGCTATACTAGTAGATATATTGGCTATACTAGTAGATATATTGGCTATACTAGTAGATATATCAGCTATACTAGTAGATATATCAGCTATACTAGTAAATATATCAGCTATACTAGTAGATATATTGGCTATACTAGTAGATATATCGGCTATACTAGTAGATATATTGGCTATACTAGTAGACATATCGGCTATACTAGTAGATATATAAGCTATATTAGATATATCTAATATACTAGTAGATATATCAGCTAGAATAGTAGATATATCGGCTATACTAGTAGATATATCAGCTAGAATAGTATTTATATCAGCTATGAGTAGATATATCAGATATATGAGTAGATATGTCAGCTATATTAGTAGATATGTCAGCTATATGAGTAGATATGTCAGCTATATTAGTAGATATATCAGCTAGAATAGCAGATATATCAGCTATATGAGTAGATATATCAGCTATATGAGTAGACATGTCAGCTATATTAGTAGATATGTCAGCTATATTAGTAGATATTTCAGCTAGATTAGTATTTATATCAGCTATATTATTAGATACATCAGCTATATTAGTAGATATATCAGCTATATTAGTAGATATGTCAGCTATATTAGTAGATATATCAGCTAGAATAGTAGATATATCAGCTACATGAGTAGATATATCAGCTATATGAGTAGATATGTCAGCTATATGAGTAGATATGTCAGCTATATTAGTAGATATATCAGTTAGAATAGTAGATATATCAGCTACATTAGTAGATATATCAGCTAAATGAGTAGATATGTCAGCTATATTAGTAGATATATCAGCTAGAATAGTAGATATATCAGCTACATTAGTAGATATATCAGCTAGAATAGTAGATATATCAGCTACATTAGTAGATATGTCAGCTATATTAGTAGATATATCAGCTAGAATAGTAGATATATCAGCTATATGAGTAGATATATCAGCTATATGAGTAGATATGTCAGCTATATTAGTAGATATATCAGCTAGAATAGTAGATATATCAGCTATTTGAGTAGGTATGTCAGCTATATGAGTAGACATGTCAGCTATATTAGTAGATATATCAAGCTATATTAGTAGGATACATCAGCTATATGAGTAGATATGTCAGCTATATTAGTAGATATGTCAGCTATATTAGTAGATATGTCAGCTATATTAGTAGATATGTCAGCTATATGAGTAGATATGTCAGCTATATTAGTAGATATTTCAGCTAGAATAGTATTTATTTCAGCTATATTATTAGATACATCAGCTATATTAGTAGATACATCAGCTATATGAGTAGATATATCAGCTATATGAGTAGATATATCAGCTATATGAGTAGATATGTCAGCTATATTAGTAGATATGTCAGCTATATT